AAAAAAAAAAAAAAAAAAAAAGGCATAAGTGAAAAACCAACTTTAAAAGGTATAAGTATAATTTTCATAGTACTGTAGTTAGAAATTTTCAAATCTTTGGAAACTTGTTTTTCACTCACCAGTATTTGAGAAATATGTTTTCCAGTATTTTACCACAATGCTAAATTTCTTCATAGTCAGTGGTTCAGTTAAAGTAATATCAGTTCCATGCCCTGAAATACAACCTAAGAATATTTGTATTAAATATTTACCTACAGTTTCTGTTTGGAGAAAAAACAAATAATATGTCCAGTAGGCACATACCTTTAAAATTTTCAGGGATTATAAAAACAAACAGCAAATGTGCATTTTTCTTCTTTCCAAATCTGAGAGAGAAAAAAAATGTCACTTTGAAGCAAAATCATCATTCAAAAAAACTGAGATTCAATAACAGCTTATTAGGAACTGAACTAGAATTTAGAATTTAAAATGGTGGCATTAATATAGAAATTTAGTAAAAGTAGTATCTCAAATCAGTGAAGGGAAAGATAGATCACTTTAACAACTTATAAAGAAAGGGAATGTATTTTTATTTCATACAATTGCATACAGAGAATTCTGAAGTGTTTTGCTAGGGTGGACAGTACAATTACAGATTATTTGAGAAATACAAGGGGAGAAGATACTTTGCTAAAACTAATATTTACTGCATTTAATACTTTATTTATGACAGATGCTTAAGGTTCTCTATTTCAGTTTAATGGGCAAGGAAATCCAAATTCTGAGTCTTTAGTAAACCCATGGCTTATCTGAGCAGGGATTCAGTCTGTTAATAAGAATAGTCTTTTTATTATTCATAACTATGGCAACCATTAATGCTTCATTCTTTACAACTAGGGAAGGGGTGAGTAGATGACTTTAAAGAAATAAAACTTTAATTTTAAAATAATTTTATATTTACAGAAAAAATATGAAAAATAATAGAGTTCCCATAGATACCCAATTTCCTGTATTGCTAACATTTTACATTATTATTGCATATTTCTCGCAATTAATGAGCCAATATTGATACATTATTATTAATTTAAGTTCATACTTTTATTCAAATTTCCTTAGTTTTTACTTATAATCATTTTTTCATATCCCAGGATTCCATACATTTAGTCATCATGTCTCCTTAGTGTCCACCAGATTGGGATACTTTCACTGACTTTATGTTCTTGACAGTTTTGAGAATATTCCTTAGCTACAGGTACAATTTAAGATGGTCCACTTTTATTCTTTAATTGTTTTAATTTATCTTTACTGTTGAAAGTATTGCAGATAGCCCCCTTTTTCCCCCCATTCATCCCCTCTACCCTGCATCCTCCCCCCCCCCCTTTACCACACTTGTCTGTGTCCATGGGTTATGCATATATGCATATAAGTTCTTTGATTAATCTCTCCCCACCCACTCCCCCACCCCCACCTTCCCACGAGATTCATCAGTCTGTTCCATGCTTCTACGTCTCTGGAAATATTTTGTTCCTCAGTCTACTTTGTTTATTATATTCCACATATGAGTGAGATCATGTAAAACTGAATCAGGAAGAAACAGAAATCTTGAATAGGCTAATAACAACTGATGAAATCAAAGCAGCAATAAAAAAAACCTCCCAGCCCGGCCGGGCATGGCTCAGCAGTTGAGCATCGACCTAGGATCCAGGCGATCGGGGTTTGATTACCGGTTGGGGCACATGCCCGGGTTGCGGGCTGCAGCCTATCAATGACTCTCTCATCATTGATGTTTCTATCTCTCTCCCTCTCCTTTCCTCTCTCTGAAATCAATAAAGATATATTTAAAAAACAAAACAAAACAAAAAAAACCTCCCAGCAAATAAAAGCCCTGGTCCGAACAGCTTCACAAAGGAGCTTTCTAATTCTTCAAGTACTAATGTTAGATAGTTTACTAAAAATTTTTCTTGCTTTTTGAGGTAGGCTTGTAGTGCTATGAGCTTCCCTTTTAGGACTGTTTCCACTGTGTCCCATAGATTTGGGGTTGTTATTCATTTTCATTTGTTTTCAGGAGGCTTTTATTTCTTTCTTGATCTTATTGGTAACCCACTCATTGTTTAATAACATGCTATTTACCCTTTATGTGTTTGAATGTTTTTGTGTGTTTTTACTGTAGTTGATTTCTAATTTCATGCCACTGTGATCTGAGATGCTTGATATGATTTCAATCTTCTTGAACTTTTAAAGACTTGTTTTGTTTCCTAACATGTGGTCTATCTTTGAGAATGGCCCATGTGCACTTGAGAGGAATGTATATTCTGCAGCTTTGGGGTGAAATAGTTTGTAAATATCAATTAAATCCATCTGGCTTCATATGTGGTGGCACATTTAAAGTCACTGTTTCTCTCTTGACTTTTTGTCTGGAAGATCTATCCAGTGAGGTCAGTGGGGTGTTAAAAGTCCATGACTATGACTGTACTGCTGTTAATCTCTCTCTAAAAGCCCTTAAGGTTATTATTGATAGGTCCTTATTTATTGCAATTTTAATTCTTTATGCCTATGTTTCGCTATTTCTTATTATTACAGCAGTCCCTTTAACATTTCTTGCAATGCTGGTTTGGTGGTGATAAACTCCTTTAGCCTTTTTTTTTGTCTGGGAACCTCTTTATTTCACCATCTATTTTGAATGATAGCCTTGCTGCATAGAGGAGTCTTGGTTTCAGGTCCTTGTTTTGCATTACCTTGAATACTTCACACCATTTCCTTCTGGACTGTAGAGTTTCTGATGAGAAATCAGCTGACAGCCTTATGGGAGCTCCTCTGGTAGGTAACAGATTGCTTTTCTCTTACTGCTTTTAAGATTGTGTCTTGAATTTTTGGCATTTTAATTACGATGTGTCTGGGCATGGGACTGCAAGTTCTTCTTGCTTGGGGCTCTCTATGCCTCCTGAACTTGTGTGACTTTTTTCTTGACCAGGTTAGGGAAGTGGTCTGCCATTATTTCTTCACACAGGTTCTCTAACCCTTGCTTACTTCCGACCTCTTCTGGTGCTCCTATGAGGCAATTATTGTTATGTTTCATGTTGTCCCACAGTTGCCTTAGACTGTCCTCCTGTTTTTAAATTGTTTTTTCTTTTTGGATCTCTGATTGATTTTTTCTACCCTGTCTTCTAATTTATTGACCCAATCCTCAGCTTCCTCTAATCTACTGTTTATTCCTTCCAATGTATTCTTTATTTCTGCTATGTCATTCTTCATTTCAGACTGGTCATTCTTCATAGTTTCCATATCTTTTCTCATGCTGTTAAGCATCCCTACAATCTATTCTGAACTCTATATGTAATAGATTGCTTATCTCCATTTCACTTAGCTCTTTTCTGGAGACTTCTCTTGTTCTTTCATTTGGAGCTTGTTTTTTGTCTCCCCATTTTGGCTGCCTTTTATTTGTTTTTTCTATGTATTAGGTAGATCTGCTAGGACTCTCAGTCTTTTTGGGGATCTCTGGTGCAGGACAATGTCAGACACATTTTGTGACAAGCCCTGAGCACCCTTTTTGGAGCTATCAACATCCCTCAGCTTGAGGTCTCCTCTGTTGGAGCTGGGTGTGTTTGGATGGGACCAAGATGCACACCAAAGTCTGCTTTTCCAAGGCCTGAGTCCAGAAGCAGATCAGGCAAAGACTCAAAGCACTCTGAGATCTGCCTCTGCCTGCAGGCTGATTAATATGATTTTCTTAATGAGCCTCAGGCTATAGAAACTCCTTAGAGTAGGGTAAGAGGTTTTCCAGCAGGGTGGGGCAATTGCTTCCCCCTCAGGAAAAAAACTGATCAGAAGATAAATGTCCACCTGTGAAAGATGTCCTCTGCAGTTTGGGGGAATGACTTGACACAGGAATCCTGTGGTGTGCCCTCTGAGCTTTATCTCCAGAGCCCACAACCCTAGATTCTTCTCACCCAGCTCTAGTCTACTCTGCCCTCCCTCTGCTGGAGCCCAAGGTTAGTGGCTGCACATGAAACTTTGTTTATTGGCTCTTTAAGAGGGTACCTGCACTTTCAGCCTTGTCTCCATGGCAAACAGAAACCTGCTGCTTTTCACAGCCAGATGTATGTGGGCACCTTTATCAGTTCTGGTGCTCTTGGCTTGGAAACCGAGACTGGGATTTAGGCCTCAGAGTCCTCAGTGGGAACCCCCACAGATGAGATATCCCTCTGGACCTTCAGCTGCTGCCTGCGGGAGCCCAGCCAGATTCCTGGCACCTCCGCATTTACTACCAGTCTCTATGTGGTCTCCACTTTTCCTCCTTGGTTATGAGGATGCTCTCCAGTTTGTCTTCAGTTGCAGTGGATTATTCAGGATGGTTTTTCTATATTTTAGTTGTAACTCCAGTTTGGTCCTGGGAGAGTGGCAGTGTAGCTTCCACTCAGTCTGCCACCATCTTTAATCTCTGGCCACTTTTATTCTTGCTCTTAAAAAATGAACCTAAATCTTATCCAGATTCTTTATCTAATCACCAGTTTACAAGAAACTTAAGGAAAAGAGGAATATTTTAAGGAATGCTATGAGGCCTGGCCAGTGTGGCTCAGTTGTTGAGCACTACCCATAAACTTGGATGTCATGGTTGGTTTCCCAGTCATGGCACATGCCTGAGTTGTAGGCTCAATCCCCAGTAGGGGTTGTGCAGTAGGCAACTATTTGATGATTCTCTCTCATCACTGATATTTCTACCTCTCTCTTCCTCTCCCTTTCTTTCTCTGAAATCAATAAAAATTTTAAAAACTAAAAAAATAAAGGATGCCATAAGGATGAAATGAGCAAAATCCAGAAAGTGGGAAATTCTATAAGAAAAAATGACCCTTTTAGAAACATATATAAATAAAGAGAAAGACAGAAAGAAAAGAAAGGGAAAAAAGAGTGAAGGAAAAATTGAATCCTAATCTGTATAAGCTCACAGTTTAAAAAATGAATACTAAGATAAAAACAAAAAAAAATTCAACATTGTTTGGATATTTGGCAATATTAAGAAATTGTTATTAATTTTTAGGTGTTATATTGGTATTGTGGATATTTTTTAAGATTCCTTATCTTAGACAGGTACTTACTAAAGTATTTATGGATGACAGGAAATGGTGTCTTAGATTTGCTTTAAAATAATCCACTAGTGAGCAGGAGTGGAAAGGTGGGAAAGGATGTGTGGGAAAGGGCAGAGATGAAACAAGATTGTCCATATGTCCGTAACTATTAAAGCTACATTATGGGAACATGGAAGTTCATTATACTATTCTTTTCACTTTTATATGCTTGAAAATTTCCAAAATAAAACTTAAATTGTGGCATTATTAACTACACTTTGGTGGTCAATAAGTTGGAATTTCTGATAATTTGATGGATACTA